TTTACAGTTACATATTTACCGCAAACCAAAACCGTGCACTGAACCGGTTCGGGAGAGGCCGAAACCGCCAAGAATATTGCAGTAATTCTTGGCAAACCGGTCGGACCGAACCATTCGCAACGTTGGTCTTAACTCTGTCGTACAGTCTGCCAACCGCCGTTAAGCGAGACTCCTGCATCGTCTCATTAGACGCCGTTCCGCCTAAAATGTCCTATCAGGTAGTTGTACAAGTTCAACCCCAGTTATGATACAACTGCTCTATTTGTGGGGGAGTGAAACGGTAATAACTTTAATCTCTACTTGTCCATTTTAATTTTCCCTAGAATATGATAGTATATATAACCCTTGGTGGAATCCCTATTTTCGAGCTTTCTTCCCGGGCTTGTGCCACGCACCGGTGTCCATACTCGACACCCACCCACCCATCTACATCAGGCTTATAGTAGGTACATACCTCTCCGGACCGCTGGCTCGGCCATCAGCACAGCAAACTGCTTTGAAACCTCTCAACAATTCTCTCCTTCTTCCTCTGTTTCTTCTGCCTGGTTTTTCTTCTTTTTTTTCTCTATGATACATGATACTTACCGTTCTTTTAACCACTTTTATATTATTTCCTCCAGTCATTCCCCATAATAACCATTCCCCCACATTTTTCCTTTTAAACTTAAGGCTCTGAGAGCCTTAAGTAACAATCATGATGTTTCGAGAAAACTTCCTGAGCTTTAAAAGTTCTAGAAGCACAGGCACCAGTACTTGTGATACGGCAACATCCTCACGAGGAATGCCGGTATCACCCCCGAGGGAAGGTCAACCGCCACAAACACAACCACCGATAGATCCGCCCAGAGGAGCATATCTACGAAAACATCATTTACAGACATACTTAATAGGCTTGTGGATCCTTTGTATAATAGCCTATATCGCGTCGATAGAGAAGGCCATTCACGCACACCAGTTGAGTCCCGCAGTGGAGGACTTGACGGCTGAGAGCTTATCATTTGGCTTAAGAGGGACGAGGAGGAGGCAGGAAACGGTGCAGATATTCAGTTTTGCAAGGACGATATTGACGGCGATACATGTATGTTGCCATCTTTTTTGTTTGCGTCACCGGTGGGGTGAAAGCGGGGTTGGGAATGGAGCTAATGCGTTGGTTGGTTTGATAGATTCCGATTATCACGGCTACCTTATCTTCGACATTACCGATATTGACTCAACGGACTAAAGGACGGGGAACAAACATTAATGCTGAGCAGTTGTTCTTGTTGGCAGATAGGACATGGGCTGGGGCGGGTGGATGGTACGAAGCGTTTAGAGTGCGGAGGTTATCCTGGGAATGGTGGAAGTGAGTTCTTCAACACTACTCTCTACACCGAACTCTGTAATAATACATCTCCAGGTTGACAATACTAGTCCTTGCTTGCTTCGCCGGTTTCCCCTTCGTAACACTCGGGTATATAGCAACATCAGACCAATACTGGGCATCCTACGAGTTCCAAGGCGCCCACGCCTTCCGCTTCAACCAGACCGTCGCAGCAATCCGGCAGTCAATGATATCCGAGCTCTCAGACTGGATCCACCGCTTCCCCCAACGCGAAATCGGCCTCACCAGATTCCAAAAGACCTCCACTTCCTTCGGTCCAGATGGTAAAACTATATACACCTTCTACCCACCCGCCGACCAGACCAGCAAACTCGGCCACTTTGTAACATATCTCGAACCCTTGGACGCTGAGCCACGGTTGGTAGTGGCAAACACAATGGGGATGCTCCAGAACTTGCAGTGCCGGACGTTGGAGCGCTCGGAGAAGCCAAAATACATCGACGTGTCAGAGGCAGAGTGGAAATGCGCAACCGATTGCGCCAACATCACCGACCCAATATCCAAAAAGAACATGTGCCACGCACAGACCTCAAAGGGCAGACCAGGCGGGAGCGGCCAATTCGCGCAAATCACCAGCTGCGGGCAGCCAGTCAGCACCTTTGACGGTGTAACCAACAAAGCAATCTTAACAAAAGCGCGAATAGCGGAGGTAGAAATCGCCTACAAGCTCGACCCACCCTACGAATCCGTGAGCACGTCCGTATTTCCCCCACCACAAAACGCATGGTCATTCCGCGCGGGGGATAACATCACGGCGGATAGGTATTATGTTGACATACTGCGCTGCTCGGCAGCACTGATTCCGGGGGATGGCATAGTGGACAGCGTTATCCGGCGGTTCATGCACTTTATGCCTTACGGTCTCGGCCTCGCTCATGAAGTGCCCGAGGTAATGGCATATCTCGAACAAGCGTTGCCAGAAATGCTCAACATAACACTCCACCCGGCAATCTCACTTCTTCACAGCACATTCCTAACATCAAACTACGGCCCCGGGAACAACTCTGGCGCATTCAACAACTCATTACCAGCATTCTTCGGCCTCCACAGACCAACAAGTGAATCCGGCCGTTCCACCCGCGCCCTCCTATCCGAAGTCTCTGCCAAAACCGGATACTCCTCATCGGACCAATTCGCAATAGACAACCTCGTCCGACTCAACGGCGAGAAATTCACCGATACAATCATATCCCTCGCCAACTCCTCCTTCATCTCCGCTCTTCCAAAATTCGTGATTCCCGCGCGAAGACCAGGCTTCAGTTACCAAACCGACGTAAAACTAACCCGCGGCATACCAGTCGTTATCGCCCCCTTGGTAATTCTATTACCAGTATTACTAGTTTTCTACCTCGCCGTCCGGCAATGGAATACTCCCACGTGGACCGAATTCCTAGACTCATTCGCCATGTTCCGGCTAGGACGGAGTTGGGAGAGGGAATTGGATGGGAGTGGCGCACTGGAGTTGAAGGAGTGCTGGCAGGTTAGGGATATTCCGGGCGTGGTTGGAGATGCAGAGACTATGAAGGCGAGGGAAGTCATGGAGAGTTCCGGGAGGGAGTATGTGGGCGAGGTTAAGCTCGGTGGGGAAGGGGAGTTGAGTCCGCATGTTAGGTATGCTTAGATGTTGGGTGGTGGTTTTGGAGTTTTGGTTTTGGTTTTGGCGTGTATATAGCATTCATCATTTCATCATAGTTAGAAATTTTAGTGACGGGCCGTCTCCTTCGAGTCAATTTACTTGGTAAATAGGATTACGATCATATTTGCACAAGGTGATTGACTGGCATCAATCCGTTGTGGTGTAATGGTTAGCATCTGTCGCTCTCACCGACAAGATCGGGGTTCAATTCCCCGCAACGGAATATGTTTTTGACCCCCCCAGGACGGCATTGTTTGCTATGATGGGAAGATTTTTTTTTTTGTTCATTTGGTTGGGGTGAGGTAGCTTGGCGTTGGCAGTTAGGGGTTCGTATCACTCGGATTTTGGCTTTTGACTTGATTTGCTGTGGAGGCGCTCTCATGAGTGACCTCCCGTTGAAGCCGGATCACGCTTATCTGCGCCTTCACACCAAAACTTAGGTTAAAAATACACTGCCTTGTGGATCTTTATCTATGGAGGATATACTGTAGTGAAGAAAAGGTTTGTAGTAGTGTATGATAGCAAGTAAGTCGAAATCTTTGGGATTGGTGGATAGCTAGGGATGCGACTAGAAGTGGCGGGGGTTTGGAATTGATCGGGTGTGGGATATAGTACTGTATTTGGAGTGGTAGCCGGGTGTATAGTGGTTGTAGGTTAGTGTTTGCAACGAGCCGGCTCGAGCCTGGATTAGTTGGTGGTCACTGGATATCACTCGCTAAACCTGCAGGTGGAGTGTTGATATTTGGATATACTTTATCGTCACAAAGGATATACTTTATCCTCATGAAGTATATACCTTATCCTCACAAAGGCTTCGATCAAGTCTTTTGTTTGCACAGTATATTTTGATAGTTTACTTTGATCCTCCTTTAGGTTTCTTCGTTATTTCTTTATGGTTCTTTGATAGTCTTTGTCATGTTATTGAGGGTGTTGAGGAGTTCCGGAGAATGTGGTTTACCTAGGACACCATGTTATTTAACCAGGTAGTCTCGCTACCTTCTAGTATAATAACTGCCAAGCATTTTATTGAATACGTCTTTACAAAAATTCATCTTTACTATCTACTATCCTCATTACTCTTACCTATAACTATCGTATTTATTTACATGGAGGGAGCCATGGAGAATATGGTGTTCCAAATATTACCTCTTACTGACCGCAGGGATGCTGCAGTTTTTGAATTAAAAAGTGTCCTTGAGGAGTAGAATTCTTCTGAGGAGCTCATGCTAAATTTTAGATAAGCTCGTGGCAAACAATATGTAGATGGTGTGGGTTGTGGAGGTGGAGTGGAGTGGGGTGGGGTAAGGTTTCCACACTCAGGTTAAGATACAGTGCACCAAACCAGCCCCTTCGCCAAAAAAAAAAAAAGCACACCCCCCCCTTCGAAGATCAGATCAGTCCTGGTATGGTATGATAAGGCACAATCCCACCCCCCCACAAACACACACAAACTAAGGATACCAGTGCTCTGGCAATAGCGAAATACGGAAGATACGGTACCGTACACTCCTGTGCGGAAAGTTCTCGTACCCTGGCTGGCACTGTGACGTATATACGGTTGTAGCAGATGTATTATTATGTTCATATACTTTAGTAAATAAATTTAGCAATTTATAAGCGAGCACCTAAGTCCCATTACACCCCTATTGATATTCCCCCATCGTTCACAACAAAGACCCGAATTCCTAGCTTGAGAGGGGAAATAGCCCTTCCACATATCCCGAGCCTCGGCACTTGCTATGAGCAGTGAATTGGATTACACAAGTCCCTGTACATAATAATACATCCACTCTAACAGAATATGCGTCACAGCACCAGCCAGGGTGCAAGAACTTTCCGCACAGGGGGTGTACTTTACTACGGACGCCAAATTTCCTACTCCTTCAATACTTACCCGTAAACATCCCCCTGCACTAAAGCGTGAATTAATCCTTTCGGTTTGGTAAAACCTTTTATGCACAATTTCTGAAGAAAAGGCACGCATCCGTTGTGGTTTAATGGTTTGCAGCCGTCGCTCTCACCAACCAGATCGGGGTTCAATTCCCCGTACCGGAGGCATTTGTTTTATCTTTTACTCGACCTTGAGGAATTCTTTGCTATGATGGGAAGACTTGTTTTTCCCCTTTGGTTGGTGGGAGTGGGATGAGGCAGTTGGCTTGGCTTGGTATCACTCGGATTTCGGCTTTCGGAGATGTCTGGATTACCGTGTGGGCCGTGCTTGTTTGTAATTTGTTTGGTCAGGTTTTGGGATGCCTCTGGCTACAGGGTAGGATGGTTGGAGCGTCGGTATTCTAGTGTGCTTCAACTTTGAATAATTCCAAAAGTGGCGCGGTATTCGCTGTGAAGTGGAGCAGTATCACTCTCACCTGCCAAACTTTTCTACTTTACTAAAGCCTAATTAATCCTTTAAAAACTACATTTATCGCACCGCACTCTCAATTCCTCTTCTGTTTGCCTTGTAAGACCTCACGAATAACCATCACTGTGCTAGATGGATCAACAAGCCTTTTCAGAAGTTTGCCTTACTTATTAGCTGGTGCAGTGATAATGCTGTGGAGAATTATCGCTGGGGGATGAAGATGGTGACTCGGACCTTGCTATCAAACACCGTCAACTTGATAGAAAGGTTATGCTTTTTTTTTTTTTTTGGTGAGAGTGGCTTTAAGTGAAATTTCTTATCCAGGAACTAACGATGGCCCGTCCGATCCCGCTTCCTCGGTTCAACACCGGAAAGGCGGAATACAGCACTGTATTCGTGGATTTGGGCTGCGCTGACTTCCTCCACTGCCGATATGATATCGTGGTATTTGTCAAAAAGCGCAAATCCGTTGTGGTGTAATGGTTAGCATCTGTCGCTCTCACCGACAAGATCGGGGTTCAATTCCCCGCAACGGAATATGTTTTTGACTTGCTTGGGTAGGTTTTTGACTTGTTTGGGATGAAGTTTGTAGTCGCTTGGCGGGAGTAAGGGCTGGGGGTTGTCATGTTTTCGGCTTGGAGGAGAGGGAGTGGATGGTCATTGAGTGATATGATGCGGGGATGCAAGTCTGGTGCGGTATGAAGTTTGGCTGTCTGTTGAGATTTTGGGTAACGAAGTGCTGGATATGGAGGATAGGTAGGTGGTTTACGGATTTCCAGAATACCGTATGATACAAACACACTCCGAGTGACACCTGTGATTCGGAAATTCCCGTCTTGGCACTAACTAACTGACTGATGAGTTTTCTTCAACAAGTTTGCATCCCCCCTCCACCGCCACAACCACAACCAGTTCTCAAATTCGCAATGGCAGATATATTCCGCCTACCAACTCGCTCAAGCACATTCGCGAAGGCATGTGCAAATAAATCTACCATCGCTACATCATCCTCCAGCACTTCCGAGAAAACTCGATTTTCGACCCTAGCGGTGAAGCTCTTACGATGTTGACTGTGAAGATAGCGCTGGTGCTGTGGTGATCCCGGTGACCACAGGCGGAAGATAAAGAAGGGGAGAAGAAAGAATTGGTTGTTTAATTCTTGGGTTTGTTTGCCATCTGCGCGAATTCGTGCGCTGGGTATGCGGGCGCGACGGAAGCGGGGATGGGTGCGATGTCTGGTTTTGTGCGGTGGGGCTTGATTTGCTGTGTGTTGGTGGTTCTGGATTATAGATTAAGAGGAAAGGAGGGGTGTTCATTCCAGCGGTTTGTGGTATCCTCTTGAGGCCTCAAAAAACCTCGGAGGAGAAAGACCAACTGATATCTTGATTGATTCCAGACGAAGTTGACATCCTCCCAGGCTCAATCTTTACACCTCCGCACTACCTCTTCAACGCGACAACCTGTTTATGCCTAGAACCACACATCTCCCCCTGCCGCGCCTCTCCTCCTCCCCCACGTCCACTATCCGCCAAATCCTTGGCCTAAAAGCTTCTGCGATCCAAAACGTCAGCCAAAAGCTACCCTCACCGAACATGACAAACTCCTGCGCTGTCAATTCTTCAAAACTTTCTTCTACCTCAGGCACTAATATTCGTACAAGAGATTCCGGAGATCCTCTACGACCTATCTACCTACCCCGGCTGGATCCCCGCCCTGCACGCCGAACTGAGACGTTGCATGTACACGGAGATCATTAGTCGCTGTTTAGCCCACAGATGGATCTTGTCACTACTAATCTACTCGTTCGAGGGGTGGACTTTTGGATTATGCAGTGTGTGGCTACTTATGATATTCCTACGTCGGTGGCGGGTACATTCAATGGTTGGATGCATGAGAAGGAGCGCTGGAGGGGGGTGGTAGTTGCTGATGTGCAGATTTTGAAGGTGACCGCAGGTGTTGCTACTAAAGCTCAGAGGTGAAAGTGATTAGTGAATGCATTGCCGAAGGTCTGGAAGAGCGTTAAGGAACGGGTGAATAGGAAGGGGTTGACTTTACAGTAAGACTGCAGATGGGATGATAGAGAGAAGGGGGGGCAGTTTTTAGGGATTAAAGACTTGTATTGACTTTAGTATGTCTTTTACCATCCATTAGCTATACTTCCTTCCTGGTTGCCTTCTCATAGTGTATTATTCCCTTTCTTTTTTTGTCAACAGTCATTACTTATTAGATACGCCAATCAGCTATATTCGAGAGACCGCTTTCCCGAGCATTAAACTAATTTATGATATTCCAAAGCTACGCGAAACAAAAAAACGGTTCTTCTATGTAATCCTTTAGTACTTCCTAAAAACGTATTTTCGATATCTTGTTCCATTGCTACTAAATCGCTATGCAGCCACGTTGGTCCATGAATTCCCGACCCGCAATACAAAAGCCCGAGCGATCTGGAGTGAATTCTGCAAACAACTTTCCCAACAATCCAGCAGAGGTTAGACCTCTAAGGACTTTCTGCTGTACTGTATCGTACGAGCTTAAGACAATGTGTAACACCCATCTGTGCAGTACTGCGGTAGTATCAGTGACCTTGAATACCCTACATTAGCTCATGGACTGTAGCTCACCTGGGCAAACTGTCATTAAATCCAACCTTGCTTCTTGATTGAGCAGCAACTACTGAATTATGGAATTAGACATTCGAAATATGGGGACCCACTACTCAAAACTTCTCTTGAAGCGTTCAAATATTTCTTATCGCTTTGCCCACTTTATACCAGTATGTATCTTCCTTTCAATGCACCCCACGCGAGTTCAGGACTTAATCGAATACCGGTATCGTACAATTATCAAGAGAAGCCAGTAAAGTTTGCGCCACTAAAACGTGACGGAGCAAATAACCTCTGCCAGTTTGCATCACTAATCACCAAATAACAGGATGATCCTACATAAGTACTCGTACCGTACCGTACTGTCCTGACGTATGGCTTACCGCCGATACAGTACCATAGTCAGGGCATGAAACAAAATTCCCACCCAAGTCCCACACCACCGCCGCCAAGCCTCCAATGCCGAGAGAAAAAAGCAAACAGCAACGAGTGAATCACCATGACTAGTGCCTACAAAAATTTTCTTCACACCAGGCAAACCACGCGGGAGCAAAAACAAAAGCAAACATCTTCCGTTGCGGGGAATTGAACCCCGATCTTGTCGGTGAGAGCGACAGATGCTAACCATTACACCACAACGGATTGGTGGCAGTTTGTAGAAAATTGCGCATGAAATGTAACTAACAGAAGTTGGAGGTGATGGTTCGGGATGGTGCAGATGTGATTGATGGCTCGGCGGTGTGCTCGGGTACCATATTGTGAGACTCAGTGTGAGGTGCGACCAACAAGAATAAACGGTCTTTATGCTAGGACTTTGGAATTGTCTCTACGGCTCAGATTTTTCGTATTTTTTTTCTTTTCTGTCATTTGTCCCAGCACCCAGCTTCTTTTGGGTCTTTCGCAACTTTCTAGAGGAAAACTTGTATAACCTGTTTGCACACAACCGTTTATTCAAGTTGGGCTGGACCGGATATATATGCTGTAACAATTGTAAAAGATTGAGTGATACCGAAAACAACATGAGGTTAGGATCCCGGTATGGCTGCTATCACGTCTTAGCCTGGCTTTTTCCAGACGGATTGAGGGTCACCTGCGACCAGATAATCAAGAGCCTGAAAATATGATATAGCAGTTTATGAACCGCTGATGTTAGGAGATGTAGGGGCTGATACAATGCTATGTTGCAATTATATGAGAACATATGACTTCTCCTTCTGCCATCAGTTTATTTTTACCGAGCAGGTAATGCCAGACGCTTCGAAGCAAAAAAATTAGAGTACCTGAAATTGGTCCAGCGGTGTAGGGGCACCTTTGAGTTGTTTTGCTACTTACACTTTGCACCCTGCAGGTTAGCAACGCTGTTGAAGTGCTTGAAAACGTACGAAGGGATTTCGGCTTCTTAGCATGAAAACCCATTTCACCAGATAATGCGATATCACATTTTGAAAAGGAAAAGAGTTGATTTCCTTTTGCTAGCTTTAAGTACGTAATTTTCTTCAAAACGGTATTAATCACTATCCGTTGTGGTGTAATGGTTAGCATCTGTCGCTCTCACCGACAAGATCGGGGTTCAATTCCCCGCAACGGAATTCATCCTTTTTTGCTTGACTTTGTTGGCGGTTCTTTGAGTGGGGATATACAGTACGGTACTCACAGACAGTGATTTCCGAGCTTATGTTTTGTGTGGCCTGCTACTGTTAGGTCCCATAAGTACCGTATTTACTCTAAGGTGTTGCTCAGACCTCTCTCGAGAGTAGCCTTCTCTCTGTAATCCCCTCCCCCCAAACGAGTGGCAAATGCCCTGAAATCAACATCCTGTGGCAAAATACTCAAGGCGCCGGTTTGCTCTGCCAGTTCCTATAATGGTATCGCTTGTCTGAAGGCTTTTTGGCCAATAAAATACGTCGAATAGCCACAGTTGCAGCAACGCTAAAATGGTAAAGGACACCTTAAAACCAAACTGTGACACCAGCTACCTGTATTAACGTACCTGAGGGCATACCGAAAAATACAGTGCGATGAAAACTTTGATAACGAACGGGGCTTCCACGGCCTATCATTTTTCACTGATCCCCACAAAACTCTTCATCTTC